CAGCCGTGTTAGTCTGTATTCGCAAAAAGAAAAGGAGTACTTGTGGCACCTTAGAGACTAACCAATTTATTTGAGCATGAGCGTTCGTGAGCTACAGCTCACTTCATCGGATGCATACCGTGGAAACTGCAGCAGACTTTATATACACACAGAGAATATGAAAAAATACCTCCTCCCACCCCACTGTCCTGCTGGTAATAGCTTATCTAAAGTGATCATCAAGTTGGGCCATTTCCAGCACAAATCCAGGTTTTCTCACCCTCCACCCCCCCACACAAATTCACTCTCCTGCTGGTGATAGCCCATCCAAAGTGACAACTCTCCACACAATGTGCATGACAATCAAGTTGGGCCATTTCCTGCACAAATCCAGGTTCTCTCACCTCCCCACCCCCCTCCCAAAAACCACACACACAAACTCACTATCCCGCTGGCAATAGCTCATCCAAAGTGACCACTCTCCCCACAATGCGCATGATAATCAAGGTGGGCCACCCCCAGCACAAATCCAGGCCTTCTCACCCCCCCCCCCCCAACCTCCATACACACACAAACTCACTTTCCTGCTGGCAATAGCTCATCCAAACTGACCACTCTCAAAGTTTAAATCCAAGTTAAAACAGAACATCTGGGGGGGGGGGGGGTAGGAAAAAACAAGGGGAAATAGGCTACCTTGCATAATGACTTAGCCACTCCCAGTCTCTATTTAAGCCTAAATTAATAGTATCCAATTTGCAAATGAATTCCAATTCAGCAGTTTCTCGCTGGAGTCTGGATTTGAAGTTTTTTTGTTTTAAGATAGCGACCTTCATGTCTGTGATTGCGTGACCAGAGAGATTGAAGTGTTCTCCGACTGGTTTATGAATGTTAGAATTCTTGACATCTGATTTGTGTCCATTTATTCTTTTACGTAGAGACTGTCCAGTTTGACCAATGTAAATGGCAGAGGGGCATTGCTGGCACATGATGGCATATATCACATTGGTGGATGTGCAGGTGAACGAGCCTCTGATAGTGTGGCTGATGTTATTAGGCCCTGTGATGGTGTCCCCTGAATAGATATGTGGGCACAATTGGCAACGGGCTTTGTTGCAAGGATAAGTTCCTGGGTTAGTGGTTCTGTTGTGTGGTATGTGGTTGTTGGTGAGTATTTGCTTCAGGTTGCGGGGCTGTCTGTAGGCAAGGACTGGCCTGTCTCCCAAGATTTGTGAGAGTGTTGGGTCATCCTTTAGGATAGGTTGTAGATCCTTAATAATGCATTGGAGGGGTTTTAGTTGGGGGCTGAAGGTGACCGCTAGTGGCGTTCTGTTATTTTCTTTGTTAGGCCTGTCCTGTAGTAGGTAACTTCTGGGAACTCTTCTGGCTCTATCAATCTGTTTCTTTACTTCCACAGGTGGGTATTGTTGTTGTAAGAAAGCTTGACAGAGATCTTGTAGGTGTTTGTCTCTATCTGAGGGGTTGGAGCAAATGCGGTTGTATCGCAGAGCTTGGCTGTAGACGATGGATCGTGTGGTGTGGTCAGGGTGAAAGCTGGAGGCATGCAGGTAGGAATAGCGGTCAGTAGGTTTCCGGTATAGGGTGGTGTTTATGTGACCATTGTTTATTAGCACTGTAGTGTCCAGGAAGTGGATCTCTTGTGTGGACTGGACCAGGCTGAGGTTGATGGTGGGATGAAAATTGTTGAAATCATGGTGGAATTCCTCAAGGGCTTCTTTTCCATGGGTCCAGATGATGAAGATGTCATCAATAGAGCGCAAGTAGAATAGGGGCTTTAGGGGACGAGAGCTGAGGAACTGTTGTTCTAAGTCAGCCATAAAAATGTTGGCATACTGTGGGGCCATGTGGGTACCCATAGCAGTGCCGCTGATCTGAAGGTATACATTGTCCCCAAATGTAAAATAGTTTTGGGTAAGGACAAAGTCACAAAGTTCAGCCATCAGGTTAGCCGTGACATTATCGGGGATAGTGTTCTTGACAGCTTGTAGTCCATCTTTGTGTGGAATGTTGGTGTAGAGGGCTTCTACATCCATAGTGGCCAGGATGGTGTTATCAGGAAGATCACCGATGGATTGAAGTTTCCTCAGGAAGTCAGTGGTGTCTCGAAGCTAGCTGGGAGTGCTGGTAGCGTAGGGCCTGAGGAGGGAGTCTACATAGCCAGACAATCCTGCTGTCAGGGTGCCAATGCCTGAGATGATGGGGTGCCCAGGATTTCCAGGTTTATGGATCTTGGGTAGTAGATAGAATATCCCAGGTCGGGGTTCCAGGGGTGTGTCTGTGCGGATTTGATCTTGTGCTTTTTCAGGAAGTTTCTTGAGCAAATGCTGTAGTTGCTTTTGGTAACTCTCAGTGGGATCATAGGGTAGTGGCTTGTAGAAACTCGTGTTGGAGAGCTGCCGAGCAGCCTCTTGTTCATATTCTGACCTGAAGAGGTGACTGTGATAGTGGCATGGTGAGGTGCTGTATTTATTATTAATTGTATTACCACGGCACCTGGAAGTCATGGGCCAGGATCCCATTGTGTTAGGTGCTGTACAAACTTGTAACTTAATGACTTCAGCTCAGATTTGCCAAGTTTACAAATAAAACTCGGGTTTCAGAGTAGCAACCATGTTAGTATGTATTCACAGAAAGAAAGGGAGTACTTTTTTTTTTTTGTTAGTCTCTAAGGTGTCACAAGTACTCCTTTTCTTTTTAAGTAAAACTCAGATGTCTTTTTGTGAATTATCAACAATAACAACAGTTGTTTAGGCTGAATTACACAATGGCACATGTGCAACCTCATTTAGCCCTGTAAACAAAACGTAGTTAACAGCTACTACATCTGCGTAACTCCATTAGTCCTTAATTCAGGTACCCAGACATAGCTGAGCAGGCAGAATATTTGCCTGTAGGAGCTTTAACATTGGTGAGAACATGTGAAAAGAACATAAATGTGAATCTCAGATCCTAGTGTACATTTGCAGGGCTGACAGAAAAACAGGTTTACTTTTAAACTGAACAAATTTGATCTGGAGTAACAGAGGATAAACATGAAACTCTATGATGCATTTTTGACAATCAGAATTGTAACTGTCACTTTGGCGTTCACACAGAAGCTTTGTGAGGATACACAGTACAAATCACAATGTTCCATTTGCTTCAGCAGACAGAAGGGCTGAGTCAACCCTAATAGGTTTAAGATTCCCAGAGGTTTTTATTTCAAAGTCAATGCTTTGATTATTTAAAACATCACATTCCAGCTTGAGGAGAGAGCTGGGGGAGTGGGAAAAGAAAGATATGTGCTAGAGGTATGAGCATGGGACTGGGAATCAAACTCCTGACTTGTATTCCTGGTTATTGCACTGATTCACTGACTCATGTGACTTTAGCCAAGTCACTTAAGTTCTCTGACTCAGTTTTCTCATCTGAAAAATGTGATTAATACTCTTTACGCGCCTCACATGACTGTCACCAGAGCTGTTACAGTTAATGCTCCCAAACCTATAGCTGCAGCATTGTGATTATTTACCACATGGTGTGGAGCATGAGTTACTTTGCAATGACTGAGTTTTGGAGTGAGAACCTTAGCCCCTTGGTCAGGATATTGTCCTCCTAATCTAGCTCTGGCTGGGCACAGTTCATGTTCCCCACTCCTTCATGTTTACAAGGAACCCCCGCCTCCCTCCAACCACTATCTCCCACTGCAAAAACACCAGTTCTAGACACATTATGCGTGGCCCTTCCTAGGCCCCTCTGGTGCTATTTCAAAGAAATCTTCAGCAAGTAGTGGGAGAAGGATTTAAACGAATGATTCTTATTGCCCGCTCTGAGGTGTGCTGAGTATTCTCTCTCTCAAGGGCTTGGCTGGCTAGTTCTTGTTCAGCTGCTCAGGGTCTAACTGATCACCATATGCCAGGTCAGGAAGGAATTTTCCCCCAGGTCAGATTGGCAGGGACCTTGGGGTTTTTTCACCTTCCCCTGCAGCGTGGGGGCGCAGGTCACTGCCAGGATTATCCAGGTATATCTCACTTAATCATCTGCCTGCCATTGTGGGGGCCTCTGGCACTGGTGCACGTTGGTCCCTCCTATTCTCTGCCTGTGGCACATACTAGTCTACTCTCCTATGTGCGGTAATTTATTAGTCTTATTTCAGTTGTTGGGTTTAGTGTGCAGGGGTTGGGTGGTGTTGGTGGTTTGTGATATACAGGTCAGACTAGATGGTCCAGTGATCCCTTCTGGCCTTAAACTCTATAACTGATGGCCCTTCACTCCTTTCAGTGTTAAGTCATCTGTACAGGCGTGGCAAAATAGACGCCTACACACAGCCTGAGTCTGCAGCATCTCATTCTCTTATGCAGACGTATATCAAGTCTGGACATGTTTTCCACAAAGGAGGTGCGTAATATTCATTTTGTGGTGAAATATAAAAGTATCATCAGAGCATGCTACATTCTCATAGCAATTGAAATTCAGCCTTTACCGAGAAAAAGTAGCAGCAATAAATTTCTACAAGCATAAAACAGGGAGGAGGTATGGTCTAATGACCCAATCAAGAAACTGGGAGTCAGGACTCCTGGGTTGTATATCCAGATCTGACACGGACTTGATACACGGCATAGGGTAAATAACCTCACCTCCTTGTGTCTCCATTTACCCTGCAGTAAAGTGATAACAATAAGTTACCTAGCTCCCAGAATGGGCTGGGAGGCTTTATTAATTAAAGGCTATGAAGAAATTTGCATAAAAAGCACTTATAGTTTATATATAAATAAGGCATACATTTTTAAACAGTCAGGGTAATTCACCATTGGAACAATTTACCAAGGATCTTGGTGGATTCTCCATCACTGGCCATTTTAAAGTCAAGACTGGATGTTTTTCTAAAAGATCTGCTCTAGGAATTACTTTGGGGGAAGTTCTATGGCCTGCATTATACAGGAGGTCAGACTAGATGATCACAATGGTCCCTTCAGGCCTTAGAATTTATAACAATGAATTAAGAGAAAAAACAATTGAGTTACCCAAAAGCTCCAGTCAGTACTCCAGTTATATGGAGCGGGGGCCTGCATTTTCGCAGTACATGCACCAAAAGTCTCCTCTGAATCGGCAAGCAACTGGCGGATAAGACCATGATCCACTTCATGGATTTCCTGTGAACCAAGCAGCAAGCAAAGCATGTAGTTTGATAATGGAGGGGAAAGGTATTAGAATAAAAGGTGGTTAATCAGTTTGCAGGCTTTATAAATAAAACCTTAAAGGGCTACATTTAACAGGATAAATTATGGGGAAACATTTCCCACTTATTGATTCTTAACAAATGAATGACATTTTTCAATGTCAATTATATTATAAACATTAAGGTTTTATTTCCAAATGTCCCTCAACTCAGACATCAGTGTTTCGCAATCAAAAGGCAGTTATAAATGTTATTTTAGCCACCATTAAACTGACAATCTCAATGCAAATTATTAAAAAATAAACTACAAATGAATCCTTTTTAAAAAAAAGAAAGGGAGAACATCTGGTTTTACTGATTCCAACCTTAATTACTCACTGTCCATACACATGTACATAAACACAGCACTTCAGAAATGTCAAATTATATTATTACTAATACTTGATTAATATATGGAGCTTTTCATCAGTAGATCTCATAGTATTTTACAAAGGTGATCAATAGCATTAGCACTATTCACAGATGGGAAAACTGAGACAGAGAGGCAAAGTGACTTGCCCAGCAGACCAGTGGCAAAGCCAGGAATAAAACCCAAGTCTCTTGAGTCCCAGTCCAGGCCCCTAATCATTTACCCACACTGCCTGTAATATCCAATACTGCCTGTAAAAGACAAGACACTATGTCAGGGTGGCCAAACTTATTGACCCTCCAAACTGCATATGACAGTCTTCAGAAATTCAATGCCGGGGCATGCCTGCCGGGGCTCGGGGCTTCAGCCTTGCTCCTGCTCAAGCCCAGAGCCCCAGGAGGCTTGCTCCATGGGGCTGAAGCCCCAAAAGCCACCTCCCCACTGGGCAGAAGCCAGAGGCGACGCGTGGGAGCCATGTGGAGATACATACCCTCCCAGATTTTTGCCTGGGTTTGTTGGCCCCTCTGGGTCACACAGTGCTGCTGGGCCCCCTCCCTGTGCAGCAGCTGCTGGAGCTAGCAAGCTGGGAGCTGTGGCCATGGGGAGAGGCAGTGGCAAACAGCTGGGAGCTGCAGGGACAGCTACTGCTTTTGCCGCTGCCTCTCCCTGAGGAGCAAAAGCAGCAGCCCCTCCCTGCAGCTCCCAGCTGTTTGCTGCTGCTTCTCCACACAGAGCTAATACTACCTGGGAGCTGCAGGGAGGGGCCACTGAGAGTAAGAGGGGGGCATGCCTAAGGGGGCGTGACTCAAGATGTTGGGAGGGGGCGAACCTTTGAATTGTGCCCCCTCCCCAGCAGGCACCAGTTGTCTCTGACAGAAGCCCCTAGCTCCACTACCCTCCCACAGGGAAGAAACCCCAAGTTCCCCCCCCACCAAGTCTGGTAGGTGGAGAATGGGGAGAAGGTCTGTAAGCCACATGCAGCTCACCAGCCACGGTTTGGCCACCCCTGCACTATACCATTTTTAACCAATGGAGCCACCATGAGTAAGGCATCTTTAGCTGCTCATCAGCTCATGGGGGGGGGGGGGGGGAGCGCACTGATCAGCACCATACTACTCTCTGCTGGGGTTGCTTAAGGATGAGCATGGCACCAATCACAGGAGCATTCCTTACTCAGCCTGCTTTGAGGGGAAGCACGCATGTTCAGTGCTCTTGAGCTCAAGCAGAGAGAGAGCCAAGTGACAACCACAGGAGCTCTCCCTTTGCAATAAGACAGAATAGGGGGAACACTCAGCCATCAGGGCAGCTGCTGTGTGCCCCCCAGTAGTGGGAACACCTGTCACAGAGCACTAGAAGCCAACCTGCTCCAGCATGGGAGAGGGAAAGAGGAGATGCTCTCATCTCCCTGATGAGATGTAATGAGAGGCACGGGGTGGATGAGAAGAGAAGTGTGTTTTCTCAAAATGTCCCACATCCGTGCAACCTTAATTCTAAACAGCTGTGATTCACCACGGCGATTGTCTACATATCACCCCCAAAAACTTGTTAGTGCAACATGAGGAGCCTGAATTTCCTGACCATTTGTACAATTAAAATTAAGAAGTTGTCACAGCCATCTTAACTCAGCTCCCTTGTATGTATTCATTACAGTGATACAAGCTTTTCAGAGTACAGCTTGCAACACTGCTAGCTAAAATAATCTCATTTTGGAAAGTCTGAAGCTTAGAAAGGTCATGGGACAGATCAACACTAGGCTGTGGTTTAGAACCCAGCCCAGGTCATAAGGGACCAAAACTGGTTACCATCTGATGGATGGTTGGTGGCTATAACAAAGGAGAAGGCAGGTTGTCAGACAGTTTCTAGTAGGCAGGGGGGAAATCATAAAACTGGCAGACTCAGCAAAGCCAGGACTGCCATCTCCTAAAGCAGTCCCTGCAGAACAGAGGCCAATCATAAGGTTAGCGTGGGGAAGCAGCCATCACCATTGCCTGTGCCTTATGCTCTGTAGATAGTTTATTACAGCTTCCAAGGCTTCCTTCCCTCTGATACCTTTCACCAGCACAGCTATCATTAAAAATACTTTAAAAATACTTTAAACACACATATTCTATAGACACCTGCAAAAGGGATGTGGAATATTCATGCTCCATTTCCTATCCTAAATTTGTACAAAATCTACCCTCAGCAAAACAGCAGCTAACAGGCTTAAGAAAAGACACATCATAATCGCCAGAATCCAAGGACCCCTAACAGAACAGTGCTGTGGGAGCGAGTCCCCAGCCTGCAAGGCAAAGTCAAGTTTTGAATGTTGCTGCCAAAGAGTGGGACAAGCAGGCAGCCCATTCCCCTGAAGACACTGGCAGTATATGTGAGATCAAGTGCAGAAAGAAAGCTGACTTGCTACTCCTCCATCCCATCCCCAGTCCCCATTCACAAATACAGGAATGGTGAGGGAGCAAGCAAAGGAGTCCTTCCCTGCAGAGCCCTGAGCGAAGATGGACAGCCCCTAGCCAATCAACCCCCACATATAGCAGAAATGAGGGGTTGGGAGCAACACCACTCCTCTTAGTCACTATAGGCCAGGGGTGGCCAAACTTACTGTCCCTCCGAGCCACATATGACAATCTTCAGAAGTTTGAGAGCCGGGGCACGTCTGCTGGGACTCGGGGCTTCAGCCCCATTCTTGCTGAAGCCCCAAGCCCTGGCAGGTATGCCCCACAGGGCTGAAGCCCCAAGACCCCCTTCCCTACTGGACAGAAGCCCCTACCCCACCACCCCACTGCAAGGCAGAGGTCCTGTCCTGAGCTCCCTCTACCCAGTCTGATAGGCAGAGAATAGGGGGCACATGGGTGGCTTGCGAGCTGCACTTTAACAGTAAAAAAGCCACATATGGCTCGTGAGCCACAGTTTGACCACCCCTGCAATAGGGCCTATCTGGGCAGTTTGTTGCTTTAGCAGCTGTTATTGGGTAGCTAGCTTGCAAGGGAACAATAACTCAGCAGCTGGCATTGCAGGACTTAGGATGAAACAAACAAACTGGTCGAGCATTAGGTCTCACATACACAGAGTTTGAGGAGACTATTAAACCGATGGTTAAAAAGCCAAGTAGCTTAAAAATCACCCCTGAAAGAAGCAGACCCTTAGCAAAGCTAGAAAGCAAAAATTTAAGAAAGAAGAATCAAATACTTACCATAGAGAGGAGAAAGAGATGCAACCTGCAAGCTGATTGTCTCTAAAATGAGCACCATAGGGCTACAGCTGCTGCTTTCTCTGCAATTTAAAGGGCCAGAGGCAATAAGACGACTATGTGGAGAAAGGCTTCAATATATAAAAGGAGTAAACCTGACACTAAGAGAGTTAGCTGATATCTAAGTGCTACGGAGAACAAGCTGGCTAATGAAAAGAGATATGAAGCTAGTCAGGGCCTGGTATAGAGCTCCCCTTACAGCTAGCACCTTCCTTAGAACGTTTAATATTGTATGCAGGGACGTCTAAATTTTTGTTCACAGCTGAAAAATAAATTACATTTTGCTACAGACTCCTGTGTCCTATGAGTGAGTGGTATGGTGGAATAGCCACTTCGCACAGTCCCCTTCTGGGACAAAGGGAAGATGTTAGTTGCTTCCCTGGCACTCTTCCCATCTCATCCCCCCTAATTCCACAAAGCCCAATCTGCAGAGAGAGGGATCTGCAGCTGGAAGAAAGTATTGTAAGGGGGAACCTTGAGAGATGCATGTCCCACCGGTCCCAAAGAGAAGCAAGAAGAGCACTAATGCAGCTTGTGGATGCCTTAACTCTTCTGTGACCCTTTCTGCAGTAGGAAAATGACAGCCTGTCTCCAAAGGTTTCAGAAGAGAGACTAGGTATCCCAGAGCTGGTGCAGAGTCAGAAAGCTTCCAGCACAGAAGGCCCTACTCTCCTGGGAATCTAGAGGGGACCCTATTACCACGGCCCTTGTCCCCAAAAGGACGACCCAAGGAAAACTCCATGAGGGGATCCTCACTGGGTTTTCCACTCCCCAGCCCCACAAATAGTTTCACAGGAAGAATGTGTTCTGGGCGGTAATTCTACCAGCATACCTACATGCATGATTTCTGTTTTCTTTCACTGTTAAGTCTGTAACTAGATTTAAACCTGAATAAAGTAAAATCAATAAAAAGAATTTAGAAATCCAACTTCTGTAGTGATTAAGAACTAGGTGTTATTATTATTTATTTTATTTTATTTTATTATTAGTGTTGATTTAGTGGTATGTGATTAACTGATCCCTAGCTGTTTAAAAACCACCTTGGGGACCAGTACTTCTGAATGAAAGGTCCTGTATAAATATGGAGTGATAGTGCATTTTATGTCATGTAGTCCATCAATCTGATTTAAAAATTTTGTTAGTATGATGTTTGAAAAAAAAATGAACAGTACAGAGTTTAAGCGTAAGAGTTTCTGATTATCAGGGACAAATGTACAGATTATCAAGGGGTGCGAAATTCAGTTTAAGATTGGATGGTGTAAGGAATACATAATCTGCAATATCCCCGATTGGGGGTAAAAGGTTAACGGGTCAAAGTACAGACATTGAGATATGAGGGTATGTTGTTCATATAATGGTTATGTTCGGGTATGGAGTATAATAAGTGGATATGATGATGAGGATGAATTGACCCTCATTTGGTGAGATTTAACATTCAGTGAGTTTATGGTTCCAGTTCATAGGGTCCAACGGAAAAAGTCTCTCGGGCCCTTTCTCATAGTCGATGCACGATGTCGCTCTGGCTCACGCCTCCTGGTACTGTCGGTGGCCGGGGATGTGTTTGGTGTAGATGTCCCTGGACCATCGGATGGTGTCTGAGACCATGAGGCGCCGCATGAGCCATGCATAGCATCGATGGATCCTGCAGGTCTATTACACAAATGGATTTCCCTAGTTTTAATGTAAAATGAATTTTAAATGCTACTCTACAGAGCCACCTAGAGGGGAAAGCGTGAAAACCTGCTTTCAAGGAGAAGAAAATAAACTTATATAACTGAACAAATGTTTAAAAGTAGTCTAGCCCCAACATGTTTCCAGGAGAAGAACAAGGGTTATAAAACCTAATAGAAATGGAAATATGTTCATGACATTAACAAAAATCTGTGAAAACATAACTGGATTTAAATGTTGACCTGGTATGTTGGAAACAGAATTTTGCCAGTGCAGGGGAACAAGAAGGTGAAGTAATGTAGTATGTGGTGATGAGAGTAAATAAAAAACCAACAGTTGTGACTGCGCTTAATGGTTTTTAGATTCAAGCACACACAAGAGTTTGCTGAAGATGTGTTCTCTGAGGGAGCAATCATCATGAATTACTTTATTTGGTAAGTGTTTTGATATACCATCCATTCTCTCCAGCTTTTAGTTACATCTACGACAGATTTCAGTTGCACCCTACACTCTGCCAGATTAATGCATCTTCTTCCCCTGGTCTCTTTCTCTCATGGCTAACTCTCTGTCCTTTCTCACACTGCCCTTTATTCCTGGGATATTCTTCTTGATCCTAGGCACTTCAGGTGAGATTTTCAACAGAGTTACGCGCTCACAGATGGGGCCAAACGTTCAGACATGCTCAGCACCCAGCAGCTCACAGAGTGATGCTTGTGGTTAGATTTTCAAAAGAGCTGAGTATGCGTCTTGCACCCAACCTGCTGAGCTCTTTTGAAAAAAATGACTATGGCTACTGAGCTCACTTGAAAAGCTGGCCCCATGAAACCACCTTCTTCTTTAAATACCTCCTGAAGCCAGGAGCTCATTGGTTGAATAATGCTGGTCCAGGAATAATTTCTTCTTCACCATTCCTGCCTGACTGGTGGACTTTACTCCTTCAGGCTGTAAGTATATTAATAGCATAGCCAAAATAAATAAATAAAACAGTAAAGCAACCAAGACCTGTACATAAAGCGTATCTCATACTGTTTTATAACCCCCATCCTTCTCATGTCCCCCAGCCTTTGTCTGTCATCTCTTACCATCTAATTTAGGGCCCAACGCTGCTCCCACTTAAAGCAATGGGAGTTTTGGCGTAATGCCATCTCAAGGATGTGAGCATGTCAACTTTTGGGAGGCAATATAGGCAAGTGGAAAGAGTATTGGACTGGGACTCAGGACACCTGGTTTCTATTCCTAGCTTGGCCACTGGATCATCTTGAGCAAGTCACTTTGCCTCTCTGTGCCTCAGTTTCCCCATCTGTAAAAGAGGGCTAATAATACTGATCTACTTTGAAATGTACTGATGAAAAACGCAATATAAGAGCTAGGTGTTTTTAATTATTATTATTATTATTTTGCTACTGACTTCAATGGGAGCAGAATTATGCCTTTTAAGTTGCAAATTCCTTAGCAGCATGGATTTGTTTAAATGTCTTTAAAATGCCATACACATTTATCATACTTGTTGTGTCTCTGGTAAAAATAGACACACTCTCTCCTAAGTAGACACATTTGGCAATTTACATGTATGTACTTTAACTATGAAAGTAGAGAAGCACTCACACTTCTCTCTCCTTTATGCCTGAAGACATCCTCTAGAATCAGGTGTTTGTTACTCTTGATTATTATCTTTATTTATTATGTGTATTTTTGCAGTAGCACTTAGAAGCCCCCGTCATGGGGCTGAGATCCCATTGTTCTACGTGCTGTACAAACTGTAGTTAATTGTTCGCTTCACTCATTGTTAAAAGTAATAAAATATGTTACTACATAGTAAAAAAAGAAAACCAGCTTTTTTTCACTATCTAAAAAACAAAGAACACAAACAGCATAATAAAAAGTAGGTTAGCTTTTTAGTAGTTTCAGTTCCAGCTGAATATACTAGTATTAACTCAGGTAAGGCATATTCTTAATATAGGTGTGTCTAGTCAGTATCCGTATCAATAAAGACCAAAATTTCCATAATTTCAGGGGGTCAGCAGGGGACCCTGCTGGAGACAATTCCAACTGATTTCTATTGGAGCTGGGAGTGTTCAGCATCTCTGAAAATCAGGCCAGGAGAGGTTCAAGTTGAACTCCCACAAATAGAGGGACCCAACATTAGTGGGCACATTTGAAAATACATGCCTACAAATTTGTGCCTTTAAATCCCTACATTATAAACACAAATTGAGCAGTGTGGCAAAGAGGAAAAATTCCACCTCAGTTACCAGTGGGTCAATGAGAAGCTGCAGGGGGTCAGGGATGCCTCAAATTGTGGGCAGAGGAGAGCAATGTACCAGACATGTGGTCATTCAGGGGACTGGGACTGGTGAATCAGGGGGGCTTGAAGCACAGCAGACCAGGCAGCGGGCCTGAGGAGTTTCAGGTCAGAGAGGCACGTCCAGTTGCCGTGGCCAGGGGTCAAGAACCATGGGTGTGGGATACAATGGGTCATAGGGTGAGGCTGGTGTGTGGTTATGGGCAGTATGGGATACAATGGGTAGGGGGGAATGGGATTTAATAGGGTGGTGCATGGCGAGTGCTGTGGATCTTCTCCTCCGTGACTCCTCTGCTCTGGGGTCCTCAACTCCCATCCTGGCCCATGGAAGGCAACAGCCCTGTTACCTCTTGGGGGCTCAGAGGACTCTCGGCAGGTTCCATCCAGCTTCAATCTCGGGCCCAGAGGTCTATCCTGCCAGAACACGAGTCTCCCGCCTACAGCCCATGCGCAGGCGCCGTCTCTCCGCAATGGGAAGGGCTGCTCCTGCCAATTCCCCACAAACACCTGGTGCACCTGCGTGGCTCCCTCTAGCAGCCATTAGCAGCCACTCCGGGTTCCGCTCTCCCCCACCCAGCCAAGCTCGGCAGCCATTTTGTTTCCTTGATTATTTGTGTAAGCAAGTGGTGGCAAAAGGGTTACACATGTACTTTGCACTTGCCTCGCTTTAATTAATCCCACCCACACAGAGCACAACCCCGCCCCCCGACTTCACCCTCCCAATACAGCCCCCATCCCCACCCAACCCCCCAAGGCACAGCCCAGGAAGGGTGCAGCCATCCAATACAGCCTCTTTTCCCGGCCCTCCAAGGAACCTCCTCTCCTGATACAACCTGACCCTTTCTGCTCCCACCCCCTGGGATCCCCACCAGATCCCACTCCCATAGCCTGGGAACCCTCTTCCAGCAGAGCCCTCCTCCCCCAAACTTGTGTTTCTTCATCCTTTTCCTCCCCAAACCCAGCAGCACTGCCTGTCCTGTGACAATGAAGCCTATATGTGCTCCAGCCAGAGAAATCTGCTTCTATTGCTGCTTTCCGGGGAGGCCATTTGAGGCC